TAGCAGCTGGTGCCCATTTTCCTACTAAGTGATTCACATTTTACCACTTTACTAGAGTGCAATTAGCTGAAGCAGAAAAAAAAATGCTCAGTGTAAAGCAGCTCAGCTGAAATTGTTACTCAGCTCTTTAACAGGATCTGGTGAATGTCTTGAGGTGTTGTCGTGGGTGTCGGTGCGAGAAACAATGTTTTGGTTTCTTTGCACACAAGTGGTTTTTTTCTGTGCTACAGTCAGGGAAACCGATTATGGGAAATTCACTGGAACACGCTGACTCTTTTTTTTGCCTGCTGATTTTAATATAGACCTGCAAAATGATAATGAAAGTAAGCACAGTATTTAGAAGGAAATGTGGTATTTATAGTCAAAGCAAGGATCTGGCTTCCATTCCTGACTGCTGCAGATTTACTGTGTTACTTAGACAAAGAGATTCTTTAGTGCATTGGCTTGCACAGTTAAAGTCTGAAGAAAGCAAGACCTTTTTGGTAGACATCCATGTGAGACAAAGGTATTGGAGGAAAATCAGATGGGTGGTACTGTTAGCATGAAAAGTACCTAGGTGTGCATAATAACACCTACCTTGCTGATGCTCCCACGTAGTAGCTGTCATTACAAATGTCAACTGCTAACAACTTATTCTGATATTTATGGTAGTAGGGCAATTCTCTCCCCAAGAAAAGAAAATACTTTATGTGCGGGTAAAAGTGGACTTTAGTGTTGGTCTGTAGTAAAAGTGGTCACTTTAATTATTGTAGCTAATTAATACCACCACTGATACCACCAGCATGGCTCTGAAATATCGAATGATGCTGTAAGCAGAGCTTTTCCTTCTTAAAAAAACAAATGTGAAATGTGTTCATGGATTATGAGGTATTGGTATGTTGTTTTGGCCTCCTTTGGGTGTTGTAATATGGGAAATGAGGGAAAAGTAACTTTGTGAACCATTTATATCTATAGATGCAATATAAAGAGCTCCCAGTAGTGGAATGAGGCTTTCTTTCTTAAGGCTATATACTGTAATCAGATGCAGCTAATTTTTGCATTCCACTTGTATATTGATACTGATTTAGCCAGTGTCAGCACTGTCAATATCATTAGTAATGTGGCAGGTAGATGGAAATATGAATGTGATTGCATTAATAAATGCTTAATATATTCAGCCTTTCATAAGCTCATAACATTACAATTTATTCGCTATTGTTTAGGACCATTTTAAAGAAGAATTTGCCTATTGCAGTGCTCTGTCATTGTACCTTTCTGCCAGCAGATCCTGGCTTCAGATCTTTCTTAAATGAAGAAGTTTTGAAGTAAATTTAGTGTAGACACGAAGAGTTAATGTGGTATATTGCATATTAGCCATGGCTCGCAGCAGCCTATATAGTTTCTCTTGTATATGGCCATGGAAATGCTTCTAGAGCCTGTTGTTGCTTTTCCTGAGGGTACTGAAAGGAAAGTTTACCTGAAATTTCCCGCTTCTTAGAAAACTTACTTCAGAACAGCACACCACAAATGGAACTGCCATTTATTTGACTTAAAATCTAGTAAAGGAAAAAAACAACCCCACCAAGGCTTTAAAATAAATACTGTACGTTTTTATATGACACATGTTATTTCTATTCATAAACCTTAACTAAATTTAGATTTTTATTAATCCAATGTGACCTAAAAATTTTGCATTAACAGCACAATGTGGAATTGGGCTTATTCTCTTTGAATGCAGATAAAGCCATCATCTTGAAAATAGCTCTTTCTGACAAAAAGGTGTTCTTTTGAAATAAAGTCTTATTCACTACATTCCTCTTAGAGTTAATGTGAATTTTAGTGCCTCTAATTTTAGATTGAAGTGAGGTCTAGAATAAAACCCACCGGCTGACAATTGAATTTATAGATAGTTGTGAATATTTCAGGCTTGAATAATAGAGCTGTAGAATTTCAGACACAGAGAGGAAGAGAGAATTAAACTCCAACTGTAGTTTTACACTATAATGCAATGGTGTCTAGGAATTCTTCAGTGTAACGAGCTAAGTAGTAATTAGGAGGGAACTGAGGGAGGGATTTTACAGAGATCTAGCTTAGGCATTATTCCAAATGTTCAGCATGATAATTTGATGGTGGTCACACCTGCCATCCATTTTAGATGGCTCTTGAATTACTTTTGTTCAGGAGTGGTGCAGTAAGGAAGGAGTGAAAGCCGTAGGTGTCTGTTGCCCACCCACAGCCAGTACCCAGCCTTATCTGTGTTTCACCTTCTGGGGATTGAGAAAGCTTCTGTTCTCAGAGTCAGGCGATGTTGTTTTCGCTTTTCCCTGGTATCAATGTTTTAACCGCGTCTGCGCTTTCCCAGCGTGCACCAATCCGGTCTGTACCATTGAAGCTGGAGTCAAAAGCAGCTCTGCCTTGGTTAGTACCAGAACCTGCTACTTCAGAGGCATCAGCACACTGGCTTTAGCACAGGCAGCACTAGTGATCAGATTTTAGTGCTTGTTAGAACTGAGATGGTATTTTGGTTTGGACTGCTTGGAGTGGGAGATGGCCACTTCTGTACTGGCCAAAATAACATGCAGTTGAGCAGCTAATGAATTGCAAATGGGTTTTTTTCAGGAAGGGGAAGGGTGACATTTGGGCTCATTATTGCAGAAATTAGATTTAAAAAATTGTCAATGGAAGTTTCATACAAGAATGTGCCATCAAGCTGGTTATGAGAGACTGTAGGGAGGGACTTCTAGTGCTGTATTTTGAGACTTTACATGTGGAATCATGGGAGGTGAAAAAAGAACCGAGTACATGTTTAGTCAATAAAAGGATCTTGGTGTGTAGAACAATAATACAAAAACTCAGTTGGTAAAAAGGGGAAGTTAATTGATAATCTTAATCACAGCTGTATAAAATTCAGTGTCAATGCAAGGGGAGAGAGAGACAGAGAGACATCATGTTTTAGTACCCTAATAACTTCTAACTCTAGTCTAAGATCGTAATGTATGTGAGAGCGGTCCAGTAATTATAAGGTAATAAGTGGAGTGGTGGTGTAAGTGCTCTAAATTAAAAGGAATTCGCAGAGCTGCTGTAAGTCAGTGCCGACCCGCTTTCTTTCAAACGTTGACTTGAGAAAAGTGCTTAGCCCAGAGTGCAAGTAGAAAGACAAGAGAGAGCTATCTATTAATTACAGCGCTCATTAACAGTGACGGCTACAAGGCAGCAGATGCAGAAGAAAAGGCACACGCTACTGCAGGCTGGCAAGGGGATTTCCCCCCCTCCAGTTCTTGAGGAAAGGACAACACAAGCAGGTGGTCCACTGTAATAAGATATTTTCACGGCTTTAACCTTCCCATTTCCTTGGTTTATTTGCTGACACCAGATAGCTTGCACCTTCCACCTCCCCAAATAAGCCCTGATTTTAAGTTTAGATGGTAACATTTCTGTACATCAGTCTGGCTGTTTTCCAAATATACACGTTAGTTGTTTTCAATAGAATTTTACAGTAAAAAATCACAACAATTGAGAAGTCTAAATAAAATCCATGGGCACTGATTTTAGAGTGAATCTCATCTTAAACACTTGTCTTTAATGAAAGGTCAGGCTCTTATCTCCATTACCTTTATTGGGAAGGAAGCCAATTCTTTTGATTTATGTCTTTTTTCCATTGGAGAATTTGATTCCAGATATTAAAGTAGAAATTGATGAAAATTGTTTATTCTTAAACAAAACAAAGTGGAAAGATGAAGAAAAGATCTCAAAAATTACTTCAGAAAATGACATCAGTCAGATTTTCTGGACTTATAAATTGGCTTTGAAAACACAAATCCATAGGTCCAGGTGGTTTATGGGATAGTCGCTTTTCTGCAGTTAATGTTTCTAAAGAAATGTTCATAACTATCATCTGAACTTTGGCAGCTTCTGAGAGTACTGTCAGTAAAGTGCTTGATAGGCCATTTACTACTGTGGTCTCATAATCATGACTGGAGAAAATGAAGATAATATCTGAATCAGAGCTTTCTAATTATTATTTTTGTCTATTGTTCACACCAAAATGTGTTAATGGTAAAAAACTTGGGGATTGTAATAGACAAAGATCTCTCCTCCAGTCCTCCCTGTAGAAAGAACTAACTTGTTGGATTAGATATTGTGTAGTTTTATTTCAGATGCTTAATTCTGAAACTTTGAGAACTGAGAAGACAAAATCTCACTTTCTGAAAGACAAAACTTATATGTAAAATTTCCTCTAATACATGTTTTCAATCCAAGAATGGAGCACATAAAATGTCAGATCCTATAGAGCTGTAGATATATGGGATAGTGCTGTAGTTATTACTGGTTAGTCTGAAGATAATGGCTAGAAAGTAATTGCAGCCTCAGCTGATGAATCATTTCACTTAGATTTTGTGAAAATGGAGTTCAGCTGTAATTATTTGTTAGAGTACCCCGTTGATGTGCTACTTTGTTACTAAATAGCTGTATCTATAATAAAGCAATATTAATGAAGAAGAAAAAGATTTCAAGGGATTTACTCTTCAGTTCTTGAATCAGATCAATAGATAATGGATACGTGTTTTATTAAGTATCCTGACAAATATTAATTACAGAGCAGAGCATTTATGTGATCAAACTTGAAAATATTTGTTTCTGATAATGGTGAGATTTACAGAAAGAAAGTACAGATGGAAAAATGAAGACGTTTAATAGCCAAGCCATTCAATAGGAATTATAAAATTTTTTTACTTGCTCGATGACAAGTTCAGAATTTAGAGTTGATGTGAAGTTGACGTGTAACCTAGAGGGCAGGTGGAGGGGACAACAGAAGGATTTGGTCTCTTTAAAGTTTTTGTTTACTGCCTGTCTGGAGCTTTGACAAAGCTCTGTCATGCCCTTATGCTGATTACCTTCATGTAGAACAAGAAGTATTGACTAATGAATGAATGATGTGCAGTCCCTAACCCTTCCAGAGCAGCCTTAAAGAGCACTGTCTTTAATACACACATTCTTCTTTCTCTCTCTCCCCACTGCAGGCTTCTCTGCAGAATGTCAAGCAAAGATCGACACATTGATTCCAGCTGTTCGTCGTACATCAAGACGGAACCGTCGAGCCCCGCCTCTCTGACGGACAGCATCAACCACCACAGCCCCGGTGGCTCCTCCGACGCCAGCGGGAGCTACAGTTCCACCATGAATGGGCATCAGAACGGGCTGGACTCGCCTCCCCTCTACCCCTCGGCCACAGGGCTCGGGGGCAACGGGCCGGTCAGGAAACGGTACGATGACTGCTCCAGTACCATCGCTGAAGACTCACAGACCAAGTGTGAATATATGCTGAACTCGATGCCCAAAAGACTGTGTTTGGTGTGCGGTGACATTGCATCAGGGTACCACTACGGAGTGGCCTCCTGCGAGGCCTGCAAGGCTTTCTTCAAGAGGACAATTCAAGGTTGGTTATCTGTGAAGTTTCCTTTCCTTTGCTCAAAATGAAAATGTATAGTCTTTGGCTGAAGCCTGTTAGGACTTTAGACCGTGCCCTTTCATGCACGGTCCTACTGGTGTTGTTCATGATGAACAACATCATGTTCACAACTTGATGTTGTTCATGAAGAAGCCCCTTTGTGCTTCTTTGGGTGTTTTGTCTGTCATGTTTAGCCCAATGCTATTTTTATTTTGATTCCAAAAAATAGAAAAGCACTGGAGCTAACCAGTGGATGTTCAGATTTGTTTTCTCTGAGAGTTTGTCTGGATTCCCATAAATGATTGTTGCAAAGAAAGCAGAGCATTTTCTGAAGGTTGTCATGGACACCTTGTGAACACACCCTGTGGCTGGCGCACAGGATTTTGTGTGTTGCTCCTAGGTACACCACTCCTGAACTTAAATTGTTACAGAAATCCAGTTTATATTTGTTAAAAAAACAGTGCATGTGAAATTGGAACAAAAATGCAGTGATGTAATGCTTAGTGCCTATCAGTGTATTGATAACTGGTCTTTCACCCGCTATATGCAGTCATCTTAAATGGGTTTGTCAAATCACATTCTAAGGACAGTAAGTTGGCATCTCACATTCTAAGATCACATTCTAAGGAGAGTAAGTTGGCAGCTTTTGGTCTCTGCTCAGTATTTTTTACTAATCTGCTCTTGATACCTATTACAAATATGCCACATATTTTGGCAGAAATTAGTACAAATGGGAGAATTTGCATGACTGCTTCCTCTAGCTTCAGAACCTATGGAGACAAAATAACCTTCTACTTTGATTTAGATATCATCCTTTCAAGTAAAATTGAAGGTGCTTTATTTAAAGAACATGAGGCCCAAGCTTGGCCTGTGCAGGAATATAGTGTCACATTAAATTAAACTCAGACTTCAGAGACTAAAATTAGGTTGCTAAGTCCAAATTTAAGCTCCTCAATAAAACCTGCTTGATTTTCATACATGTTGAGCACCTGAAATTCTCAGGAAAGGCAATGCAATCTGGTGATATACTTTTCTTTTTAAGAATGAACTTCTGTTTGTAATTTCACATAACCCCAAATTAAAAAACATTTAGTCTTTAGTATAGTGCTTCCATATTTAATGTAAAATTAGTAAGGAAAAATAATGAATGTTAATTTGATTTATCTGTTGCTGAGGTGGTGGCTCTTTTATTCTCTCCTCCATTTTGCTGCTGGGGAGATTTGAGCCTTTTACCAGCATGAAGTATGAGGGCCATACAGCCACTAAAAAGAAACATTAGACTTCAGTTGTTCTAATGGAGCTGAATGTTACATTGTTGACAACCAGTAAACAAAGATTTGTACTGGTGGCCTGGGTTTTTATGTAAAATAAGCATATACACAGAGACAGTATGCTCATTTCAAGTCTCTGTTTTGAAAAAAAAAAAAGAAAAAAAAAAGAGGTAGATGATTTCACTTGACCTTCAAGAGCATTTTCAGAAAAGCTCAAAAAATGTTTCTACTGAATCAATTTGTATTTTGTGGTTGCTGAACTTCAAGCACCAATTTCAACTAGCAACTTTGTTTTTATAAATGGTATTTAATTGCTGTGTAATAGCTGTCCTACAGGACTGAATTGATGCACGATTATTTTAGTGGCATTTTGAGCACAAAAAAAACTGCTACAGAAACAAAAAACTGATTGAAATGTTGACTTCTGGCAGTAAGAGGTAACCTGCAATTTTACACCACACCACAGACAGCAAGTTTCTGGGCATGGGAGCACAAGGCAGAGACGTCATCCTCCAGATTAGCAACCTGGACTTGGCCACGCAGCTCAAGTTAGAACTGGCAGCTGTGCAAAAAGTCTCAGTGTGGTTAGAGCACGAGCTGCATCAGCAGGTGACAGTGCTGTGAAGACAAAAAGAAAAATGCAGTAGGGCAAAACCAAGCATTGAAAAGAAAAGCCATAATGAAGAAACTAAGAATAGGAAGTATGTTTCCCATCATAATGTCATGGCAGCATCTTCCGCAATGGTCCTGACTAAGCTGGCATAAATACTGAGAGTTTTCGGGTATCATCCAAAATAATAGAATCAAACCATGAATTGTGGTAGGTGACAAAATGTATATAAAGAAAGGTGCTTCCTCATTATTTGAATGGGAAAATTCTACCTTTAGGCTTGCATGAAGTGTAATTCCCTTGAGGTTTTTTTGTTCTAATTGATAGAATTTAGTTCCAGTGCCCTGCAGGTCATTCTTTCCTGCACTGTTTCATTTCCTTGTTCATATCATGTTCATTCTCTCTGCTTATTTTTAAAATGAGTTTGCTGCTGCATTACTGCAAATAAGAAAACAGGAAAACAGAAATAAATGCAAAAGGCTTTGAAATGCAGAATAGAAAACCAGGCTGCCTGAAGAGTCAAATATTGTAGCTGTGCATATGTAGGGATAACATGTTTCAGCTCAAAGAATGACTTATTTTAAATGCTAAAGCTTATTTGTGATGGGTACTTTATTATAAATTTGATGAAAAAGAACATAGGACTTCCCAAACTTTTGTTGATGATTCATCAGTTTATTAATTTAGCTCAGGCTTGTAGGTCCTCAGTGCTATTTCTGTTGAAATCATGGGCACAACTGCCCTGACTTCAGGGAGAGGAAGGCTGAGCTGATAAAGTCAGATTATGAAGCACATCCTGTGTTCATGTAAGGCCTGATGTCCTTTCCACTGAGTCAACGGGAGTCTTTCCATTCCAGAGGAGTCTCTCGGGGTCTCAGTAGGTGGAGGCCACAGGCAGCTGCTCAGAGAGCCAGCACAGTTATTTGTGCACCACCAGCATCTCACACAGAAGGAGGACAGAAGCATCACAGTGCACCTAGTAGCTCCTACACAAGGCTCTCTAATATTTTCTACTCTAACGTAGAGTATACATCTGTTTTTAAGGGTAATGGAGATTATCATTCCCTTTCAGATTTAGCAATTTAGTCTAAAAAACATCATTCCCGTCTCTGGAATCAATTCCTGCTCATTTCCTTAAACATTAAGAAATTAAATGAATCCCGTTTTGAAGTATAAGAAGGACTAATTTTGCCTTTTTAGAATATATATTTTTAACATGGCCCAAAAATACATTTGCAGTTTTGGTAAACTGTGCATAATTATGATAAAAATCAATAATACTAGAAAAAAATAGAAACAAGCAATTTCCTGGCTAAAAAATTGAAAGAGAACAAACCCACCAAAAAAAGAGCTCAATATATGAAATTGATGTCTTCTTAGGTCATAGTAGAACGTAGTGATGTTCTGCCCCTTTTGTGAGATATAAGGTATGGAAGAACTGGATGTTCTCTCTGTTCAGCCTAGCACTCACTCAGCTGCAGCTCTCAGTTTGCTTCTGGGATAATTTACATGGTGGCTGATTGCAAGTGTCTCACAGAAATACACACACAGCCAAATCTTTCCAAAATTGGCTTAACATCAGGGGTAGTAGAAAATAGCAACATCTAAAAATAGTTACAGGTCTATTGATTTTTAGGGTCTCTTCACAGTTTTTGCTGTGCACTGTATTATCTTGAAAACTCTGAGCTTTCATTAAAAGAAAGAGGGGAAAAATTTTTTCACTTGTCAGCTGGGTGCAAAGTCTTGTGTTCAACACAGAGGTCTTGCACTTGCTAGAAATCTTGTAGTGAATATTTAATGTAAAAATATTTTTCATAATTTTTCTTTGGTCAGTTATCACATATACTCATAAGTAAACATTTTTATTAATAATATGTAATTACTCGGTGTTCATTACCTAAACATTTCAGGAGGTGGATTGAACTGGTGTTCTTGCTTTCAGAAGAGGGCTGAAATGATAGGACTTACAGGTTCAAAGACAGTTTATTATCCTGTTTTATGCTAGCTTTTATCTTCTGAAATAATGGCCTGCATCTAGAAGACTTTCATCCTCCCTCCTTCCAAATTGTCCAGACTGTTGTCTTTGGACTCTTCAAACTAGCCTGAAAAGAGAGTGTGTAAAACCTGCACATTCCTCCTAAGGCTTCTCACAGAAGTCTCAGATCTTACTTATCATTTCTTTGGATACTGTTTGAATTTTCCCCAAAAAAGCAAAATATTTTGCATTCAGACGTAATTGTTCTTGAATTTTTACTTTTTTGGGGTTTTTTTTGTTCATATGTTTATTTTTCGAGGAAAAGGTGTTGGATGAAGAGTAGTGAGGCATCAATCTTCTGTGTATACCGAGAGTGAGTAAAGCAGTAGTTGGTAAGAAGCCTTGCAGTCAGACCCTCACTGTCTCATCATTTCATCCCTGAGACTTGCTGCCTGCCTATGTCTCCTAAAACAAACAGGAAATACTTTATCCTTGAAATGCTGTTGTCTTCTGCCATCTCATTTTATGCTGCTCAGCTAAGAGCCTTCAGCTCTACAGTTCTGCAGGGATGTTCCTATTGTCTTCAAAGCCTGCCCAAACTGCCTTGTACTTTGTTCAGCACTTTCGTTGCTCAGAGTTTTTTTTAATCCCTCTAATGTTCAGGTTTTCCAATCTTCTTTAGAGTGATGACCTGTTATTGAGCCAGTTTGAACTGTAAATGTACAAACACTTTACAGTAAATACATTTTTATTTTTCAATCAGGAAGTTTTAATCAACAAAGATAGCACTAACTATTTACATTCAGATAAGGCAACATAAAGTTTGATTTGAAGTTGCACGTGACTGAAGTGGCTTCCAAAGGGTATTTTGCATTTCTGAAAGCTGTCTTCTGCAACACATTTTTGAGGAGGAAATGAAAGCAAATTAAACAAGATTTTATGGCTTTTCAGCTTCTTTGCTGATAGCTAAGATTATTGTTGTTTACAAGGATAGGGTGGAAGCTCACATCTTGGTACACTGGCTGGTGGACCTTGGCTGTGGTGCAGAGATGGCAGCCCTCCAGTGAGCTGAACACTAAATGTCACCTGAATCCATCATTACCTGATTTGATCATTCACCTTCCTTATATAA